AAAGAGAATGCCAACCCCATTTCCAACCCACCTTCCCTTCTGTGAAAGAATGATCTACTGACATGACACGTTATATACTAAGATCCTTCTCAGAATAGTGGGAAAAAGTGATTTGTTCATTTCTTAACATGTACGCACCCTTGGAATTCTACATTTTTAAAGTCCTAAAATGCTCAAATTTTTAAAAGTTTTCTAAATTCTATTTCCTGTGTCTCTAATGAAGGAAGAGAAGGATATAATGATTAATGATTGTTAGGACAAAGTCTTTCTTTTTTTTTTTTAGATTTCAATAGAGCGCTTGTTGTCATCTCTGTGGAATTTTCAAGAATAGGCCTGTTCTGTTTAGTAACCAAATATTTGGGTGTTAGAGAATTTATATGCTGTTTCCTAAAAGTTCAAGTGAATGGTTATATGTAAATAAATAGCTGTTTGTCTATCTGCGTGTGTGTATGTGGAAGGAGAAGGAGAGGAATGGGGGAGAGAAGAAGGAGAAAAGGGGAGAGAGAGCAGTGCCATGGAAATATGTTCAGTTTTAAATGACTGCTTGCTTACAAACGCCTGGTTGACCTTGGGAATCTAAGTAAGTGAACACTTTGGATGTGAAGCCCCCACAATTCACGAAAGCACAGAACTCTAAAGCTACTGTACTCAGAAGGTGGCACCTGGCATACTTTAATTGGCGTTATTCTTGGCTGATTTGCTTCTGCTTTAGGGAACACAGAAGAGAACACTTTCCTCTTGCCATTAGCTCTAGGCCTTTCTTTCTGACTTATGAAGAAGTATTAAAAGAACTAATATGTACAATTTGAGTAAACAGTGACTAAGAGGGGATATGCTAATTATGTGCAAGAGTTTGAAAGGTGCATACACTGAGGAGGACGAGAAGTTATTTAGCCTGGTAGCTGAATATTGCCAGGAGACACAAAAGCACATTAAGCAAAGGGAGATTTAAACTAAACACCAGATCCCAGAATAAATATAACACTCGGCGGCGACGTGAGCAAGCTTGTGGAAATAGGTTGAGATGTTTAAAATGCCAAAATACTGGAATTTGCATTTCAAGTAAACATTTATACAGGGGCAGAAAGTAATGGATAGGAACAGGAGCAAGGCCCATGTTGTAGCCAGAGGCCTTGATTCCGGCAGAGAACTTAACAACAGGTTCAGCGTCACACTCTGTCCCAGGAGCCTCGTACGGTTGAGAGAGTCAAGGGGAAATGGGGACAGGACCCTAGGGTTGAGAGCAGCTGGTCAGAGTGAACTGAAAACAGGGAGAGGAAAGATGCCCCGAGGGGGCCAGACACACTAGGGCAAAGGGAGAGGAGCAAGAGGATCGGAGCGCATTTTCGAATTCCGACTCGAGGTTAACAACATGTACTCCATGCTTTGAACAAAAAACTGCACTTAGTCATGGTGACTGTTTCCACCCGGGGGCTCTGTTAATATCACCATACTTTCTTTTGAAGCAGTAACTGCACACAGCAAATACATCCTGAGCACATGGCCAGAGATGCCTCTTCCAGCTTTTCAACAGCAGAGGACTCAGCATACCCTTTCTTCCCCAATAAAAGAGGACTCTGTGAAGACCATCAAAAAGAGCAGATTGTTACACCAGCTTCTTCTATAGAAATACTGAGCCACCTTTCAATACTTCCTTCTCTTCAGCTATATGATTTATTGACTCTGATTTTAGTTTCTGCCTGTGTTTCTTAATTCAGCTCAGCTAACTCAACCAAATAATCTGAGCCAAATTCTGTGCAACAGAAAAGCTCCCAATTCCTCTCAGATCACTGTCAATTAATAAGAAGTGCTCACGTGAAGTAGGACAGATAATGTGTTGTAGGCCAAGTCTCCTGGGGGTATAAGAAAAATAGACTAGCAAGAGGTGGCAGGCAGTATAAAAGCTTCCACTGAAGGATCCAAGGGGTCAAGGAAGATTCACAAGAAGACTCCAGAGGTGTTGTTTAATATTTTAAATTCTTATCAAGCTTTTTGATGAAGGAAGACCACCTAGTTTCTCTTACCTGTATTTGGTTTGCGCATAGAGCCTTCCCAGTCTAGGGAAGCAGCTGTGTACACATGTGCTGGGGCACGAGGCAGTCATCAGAGTGGAGGAGAGCTCTTGTGGGAGAAGCAAAATGCTCATCTTGCCTTATGGCTGGGGCACATAAGGGAAACTCGCATTCACCGTCAGGAGGTATTGGGGGTGATTCTTCCTGGAGATGTGGGATTGAAAATTCATCCCATGAGGATCTGTTTTATTATCTACTTACTTGGAAAAACCAGATTCTTAATCCCTGCATTGGCATGTAAGAATCCTAGGTCCAAAACCCAATAAACACCTCTTTATTTTCTCCGGTTCATCTTAATGTTTACTCTCATTGGTGGCAATTCCCAACCCTTTAGGCCCTTCATTTGTACTGCTAAAAGTCATCTTTCCCTCTCCTGCCACAGGCTTATATCTTTCAGAAATTCAGAATGCAAAGTAGGGATTCACTACCCACCATTTGTAGGTATTTCATGGGAATCAGAAAGACTTCAGTATTGATAGCTATCTCTAAGAAGACTGCACTTGTTCTCTCTTTCACTGACAGCTCAGTACCTACCCAGGAATGAGGGTGATGGGCAGAGCAGAAATCCTACACCATTCAGATACCATTTTTGAGCCCTCCTTTCATTATGATCCACCATGATTCTCAAAATCAGTAATGCTGTCTTATTGTCTATCCCGCCTCTCTACTCCAGATTTTTTAATGAGTTTACACCTATTTTGGCCTGCAGTTGTCAACATTACCATTTGTCTTCAGGGTATTTGTATTTAGCTACAAGATTTTAGCATCAGTTAGCTTGCATGACTATCAGTCCATAGTTGCAAGTGTGTAGGAATGATTTTTTTTTCTTCCAAGCCCAAATTCTTAGCAGCTCATCCAATAGAGTGGACTATTACCCTTCCTAGGATTTCTATTTTTCTTTCCTACCACATTCTACTTCTGTGGCATGTGGAGTCACGTCTGACTGCTTGCCTGAATGTGGAGAAGAAAGGTGAAAACACAGATGGGGGAAAATCTTTTATAGATAATACGCAGCTATTTACTTAATAGACTAATTCTAAAACATTTTCAGTAGAAACATGTGCTAGATAATGTGCAGGACAGAGCCAGATATTTCTACAACTACTGTCTTTTGTTGTTGGGATTGCATAGTTTCCTCAATACTAGTGATAGTGACAATTGACAGGAGACTCAAAGCTTGGCTGACAGTTGTGTTATAGGATGTTATCAAAGAGGCCCTATGTTCTATTGGGAGTCTAGTTAACAGGTTTGGCTGACATATTTAGACAGTGAATTTGTCTCTGTGCTAGCTGTCTGTTATGTTGATTTGGCCATTGGGGAATTTCCAGAAAAGGAAAACAGCTTGTGGCATTTGAGCAAAACTATTAATTGGTACCATTTAGTGTAGGATGACCAAGAGCAAGATTTCTTCACAGGGGCAGGACTGTGTCCCTTAGCAGGCTCCCAGGCTGTTCCATCTTAACCCAACAGCAGTGGGATTTGTAATCTAGGGTGAGGAGGGTTCAGTTTAGCTGGCATTAAAGTACATTGGCTTTTCTGGCCAACCTCTTTCCCTGCTCAATCCCCTTTCTTCTTCACCTTCTTTTCCTCCTTTTCCTTTTCCTCCCCTCCCCTTCGTTATCTCCCTATCCCACCACTCTCCAGGAAGAAACTCATTTAATCAATTATACTCCACATAAGGGGAGTTAAACAAGGCTGCCTATCATGAAATTTCATTACTAAGTTGACATCCAACTTTGTGGGACTTTCCAAAAAGGGTCTCCAGACCCCTAATGCTAACTGATTAGGCCAATGATATTGAGCTCCCTACCACCTGTGATGTGTCAGTCTGTCACAAAGCACAGCATCAGCAGCACATTCTCATGGATCTGGTTCATAGTGTGAAAGCCTCAGTAATGATGTAGTTTGACACTGAGCAAGGAAACCATAACTGCAAGACAGAGTTTTGAACATGACCTTTGTGAACAGAATTCCTCATAATCTTAGGGAGAAGAGTGACAGTTCCTCAAAAGGAATCCACTTGTCCTAATAACTACTGGTTGGAAGAGTGCCTTGCGGCATGGCATAATTTTTGATATCACAGCTTTGACAGTCGCATCTCTGAGCCCTTAAAACCATGGGCACCTGCCCCCAACTCCCACTTGGTTCTGAGCCCTTAACCAATGACTGATGTGTGTAGACACATTAACACTCCAGCTTCTTAACTCTTGGTCAGGATAACTTTAAGTGTGGCATGTGCTGTCCCAGAGCTCCCTGAGGGATTAAGCCAAGTTGTCCTGTGTGGTAAGTGACCTCCACCCTCTCTTGGCTTCTTTCTCATCTAGGTCCCATTTTCCTACTTCGCTACTCATTTTTTCCTGAGAATATTTCCTCCAGAATCACTTTCATGTGACTCTTTGCCTTGGGGTCTGCTTCTGTGGAATGTGATCTCAGACAAATACATGGTCAAATTATTAAAAAGCCATGTGTATGGCAATGAGAAACAATGAAATCTGGCCATGTGTAGCAACATGGATGGACCTTGATGGTGTTATGCGGAGCGAAATAAGTCAGGTAGAGAAGGACAAATATCATATGTTTGCACGTATAGGAGGATTAGGAGGAACTTGACGGAGGACCATGGGGGAGAAGAAGGGGGGAAATGGTGGGGGAGAGGGAGGGAGGCAAACCGTGAGAGACTCTTGAATGCTGACAAAAACTGAGGACTGATGGTTGTGGGGGGGAGGAGGAATGAGCATGGAGGAGGACACTTGTGGGGATGAGCACTGAGTGTTATGTGGAAACTACTTTGACAATAAACTATTTGTAAAAAAAATAAAAATAAAAAATAAAAAGCCATGTGTATTTACTGTTTCTAAAAAGAAAAAATAGGTGTTCTGCTGCATATTTTAAACCTAAAAAACAATCATGGAAATCTCTGTTTTTCAGGGAGAGAATTTGAAGGAGAAGAAGAATATCTGGAGATCCTTGGCATCACCAGAGAGCAGTCAGGCAAATATGAGTGCAAAGCTGCCAATGAAGTCTCCTCGGCGGATGTCAAACAAGTCAAGGTCACTGTGAACTGTGAGTATGGCAAAAGCCAGCAGGTGCAGTGTGCCCAGGGCCCACTCCACCACTAGCAAGCTCTAAAGATCCCATTAGCAAAAGAACATTGCATTTCAAACAGATGCTCCTCTGGTCAGGGATGTACATTTATACATTGGACACATCCAAGGGCAGGACGTGGCCTTTGAATTTGATAAATCAACTCAACCAACTCTAAATATAACTCATAATGCATTTAACACTACAGTCTGTCTTTTACTCAGACTACAGAATTAAGAAAACATGATCAGACAGCACTAGTATATCTGGCAATCACTATTCTGGTCTTTGTAGAGAACAAGGTCATACCACTTTGAAAAAGAAACAATTCATATCTGCTTAAACTGGAATTTCTATCTTATTGCACTGTTTGTCAAAAAGGAATAACCTATCCTCTGCTGTTTAGCTAATTGGCCTTGAGAATAAATTCAAGTCACTGTGGTCAGATATCACGTGTCCCCAATGGCTACCAGGGATACCTGATAAATTAATTTGGTTATCTATTTGTCCCTAAGTATGGGCATTAGAAATGAAGATTTCACTAAGATGCATAGGTAATGGGCATACTTTGAACTTCTCAGATGAAAGGATCCTTAGATGTAGTTCAAAAGACAGGGGGTGGGGGCGGATCCATATGATGTGTGTCACCCAGCAAAGGAATAAAGAGAATTCGTTTATCCTGTTCAGTTAGGAGTGACTTTTCACATCACTCAAATTCAAGCTCCCACATCATACAGTTGTGGCTAGTGGCAGGGACAAAGGGGTGTCCTAACACTTTTTCCCTCCTATGCATTTACCATGCATACACATACCCATATGTACATATCCACATATAACACACATACAGGCACATGCAGGCACAAATTCATAGATACATCCACAAACACAGTGACCCACATCCGAAGATATATTTTAGACCATGACAAGTTACTTTCCATTATCTTAAGCCCTCCATGCAGTTACCTATATGCCAGTGATTCTATATTAAGTTCCTGTCATGGTACACATAATTGACTCCATTTTAGGGTTTGAGACACGGAAGCCCCAGGAGGTAAAATTGCCTTTCCAGTGTGAAAGCAAGTGTCAGAAAAGGGATTCAGACTCTGGCCCATTTGGTTCTAAAGCCATGCTCTCAGGAAAGAGAGGAAGAGAAGGAGTTTTCAATTCTTAGTACCTACCATGTGCAGCACTGGACTTTTTTTTTTTTTTTTTACATTTGTCATTTAATTCACACAGTAAACTCATGAGAAAAACATCATTAGGTTGACTTTAAAAATTTGGAAACTGAGGCATAAAGATGCGAGGAAACTTGCCTAAGGTGACCTGGTCTGTGCTGGGCTGCAGCATTTCCCAATGTCGTGCTTTAACTTTGCAGCCTTCTGAGATGGACAGTGAAATCTCCTTCACGCCATACCTCGAAGAATCCAATGCATAGGACTCTGCTGTAGACACTTATGGCAATCATTTCCAAGAAGCAAGGAGTACATCTGACGTGCTCTGAAGTGCTTTTATCCTGAGGCTGTCTGCGATTTTTTTTAGTAACAGAGTTTTGAAATGCCAGTATTACTATTCTTTTTCAGTGCTGGGTGTGTTTCAAAGACACATTAATGATCTCAATGTTATAAAATGCTTTAGGACCTTTTTTTCACATGAAAGGCAATTTCTCTGGGTGTTTATATAAGTTTATAATTAGGTTAGTTAGGTTCTTTTATGTACACACAGCCATGCCATCATCTTCCACCTCTTCTCTGACTTTTAGAGTTAAGATTTCATTTTCTCTTAATTGACCTTCATCTTAATTAGATTTCTGAAAGTCCATTCATGGAGTACATAGAAAATATTTATGCTTCCATTGTGTGAAACATCAAAGTGGTCTGCATTGCAGATGGTTCCCAAGATCAAAGCCAGCCGCCTGGGCCCTATTATTATTAGCGCAATTAGTCTGACATTGCTCCTTCTTGACTGTCCCCATAGTGTAACTTAGAGCAGAAGAAAATACTGATAATTTTCAAAGAAAAGGCTTTTATGAAGTTGTGAGCTTTTCCTAGTGATGAGTGAACCACAGACTATAGGCAGAACCTCAAGATTCTGAAAATATACCTAATAACAAATTACATGCAGATTTATAAGGAGCTTACACATCCTGTATGTCCAAACCAGCAGCACCCAGCACATTCCTGACCTTATAAAAATTGCTCAGTGAATGTTTACTGAATGAGTAGGTAAAAAAAGAACCTAATAGCTAAAGTCTGCTTTCATAGCATTTCTCCAAACTTTGCAAATGATATCAATCACGTAATAGAAAATATATTCTAATATCAATTTCCTTTGTGATTTTTACCTTTTTACCAAGACTTCATAAGCCATATTTATATTACATTAAAACAACTAGCCATTGTACCTGTTGGACGGTTCATACAATTTGTCCTTTTTAAATGTTGTATTGTATTGTATTGTATTGTATTGTATTGTATTGTATTGTAAATGTTGGATTAAGTAGATAAAGACTCCAAGATTAAATTACAGAACCAGCTCTGGCTACCAGACCTTGTTCCTACTGAGAAAAATCCAGTGTTTACCTTCGTCAGTTGATCTAAGCCTACCTAGTATGAAAGTGTCCCATTATTTAAATGGATTCCTCTTCCTTTTTCAAAACACAATGCTTAGAATTAGTTCAGGGGATCAGGATGGCTAAGATAAATAGTGGCTGAATAGATTATTGTAATGAAACAGACCCTGAGTACCACTGCAAAAAAGAAAAATATCCCAATGTTGACAATTTTCTCCTATAAGCATTTCATTGATTCATTTACTCAGTTGCCAACAGATATTTGTTGTAGTGTACTGAGATGCTAGAGCAGTAAACAAGAGATGTAGACACAACAGTTTCTCCTGTTTACCTCATAAGCTGGATTCTAACGTCTCTCCTTTTCACTTCTCTTGGATAATCCTTCTCCACGGTCAGTTCATAGCATTGCATATAGCCATTTGACATGCAAAATCTATTTTCTAAGTAGGAAGTAGTCCTGGAGTTTACAGAAGCTGAATTAATGACCTGAAATCTCTTCAACTGAATAAGCTTATTACTAATACAATAGATAGGACTTCTGGCTTCCTGTATCTTACTTACAGTATAGCTGCTAATTTCTTCCAGATACCAGCCCTAGGGACAAACTAGCCTTTCCTTACAGATTCTAGGTGTAATCCTTTAATTTCAGTTCTCACAGTGCATTAAAAGTAGCTACTTATGGGTTTACCTCATCTTAGTGCACAGTATCCTGAGGATAACATCTTGCCCATAGTAAATGTTCAATAAATGCAGACTATTACATTTATTTGGACTCTTATACTGAACTCTTTTCCTATTTCTGCAGAAATTCTTCTCCAAAGCTGCACCCAACTCTTAAGCCTTCCTTCCATCCCATTAACCAGCTAATATTCCTAATTTCCACCTTCCCACAACTACGTCTCCAATCAGGTTCACAGTATTATACTATAGTTTCTTTTTCCTCTACTTATTTCTCTTTGAACTCAGCTCTGCCTCCACACTGGCATCCAGAGCTAACCAACCCAACACAGATGCTGGGGGACATGGATGCTGTCATTGCTAAAGCTCACCCTTATATCTGATAGCCATTAATTGGAGAAGGCAGAGGTTATCTACCATAGAGTCTACAGTTGAGACTGCAGACATCCATTGTCTCCAGATAATATATATGCATTTTAACTGAACTCTTCAGTGCTTTGATTCAAAATCACCTAATGATGAGACTTTAGGAAAATAACTGCTCAACATGGAGTTAGACTGGCTACTTTCTCTGGATATTCATAACAACAGCTATCCATTCTCCATGCAAACCTTTACTTTATTCTTATATTTGGGATAGTTTTAGTAAGCACATGTCCTAGTGTTTATGATACTATTATGGGACCTTCAGAGGAAATATTCAGTAAGAATCCAGAGTACTGCGATCTTCCACTATAATTTTGCAATGTGAACAAGAATCATAATTTTCTGAATTCCTTCAGTGTAACAAGATTGTTAGAGATTTTGTGTAATTCACTGTAATCATCACATCAACAGTGGGTAACCAAGGAGGGAGATGTATCGGGCCTGACCTGCCCTCGCAAGGAGGAAAATTTACTTTATCACTGATATTGTTTAGTACATTTGGTTTAGTATTGCTGGGACATGGTGATTTAACAACAAAAAAGACAACTTGCGGTTAGTTCTATTATTGTTTCTTAATTCTCTAGAGACAGTGCCTTTCTTATTGCCTACATTTTCTGCCCTTACCCCCTTGGTCTACCATCACACCCCAACCCTGGAAGACAATCAAATTATTCCTCTGCAGAGAGGGTAAAAACAGAACTCAGAGAGTATAAGCATTCTTGGCCACAAAATCAAAGAACTTGTGAATGGTGGATAGAGTTGGGATTCTAACCAAAATCTAACTCCAAAGCTCTCTTTCCTTCCAAACCACCATGTGAATAATAGAAATAAAAGTGATAAATGTAGAGCTCCTGGGTGGCTCAGCTGGTTAAGTAACTGACTTCAGCTCAGGTCATGATCTCACAGATCATGAGTCAGAGTCCCACATCAGGTGAGCTCCAGCCCCACTTTCAGTGAGCCTGAGCTCTGCACTGAGTGAACATGAGCCCCACTTTGGGTGAGCCCCACTTCTCTCTCTCTCTCTCTCTCTGCCCCTCACTCACTGTCACCCTCTGTTTCAAAATAATAATAATAATAACAACAACAACAATAAATGTAATCACTGCAGGTGTTAAATGTGCTCTCATATACATGATTTTCATTTGATCTTTACATCAGACTTGTGAGACACATCACAGGGGCCATCTTCTATATTCATAGATATGGGGCTCCAGGAGATCAACATGTCATCCCTAGGAGATGACAACCTTAGTAGCACAGGCAGAAATTGAGCCCACAACTCCTAATTTCTAGTGCAAGTTTGTACCCACTAAGTACTCCATGTTCTGCCATTTTTGGTACCCTTTAATATTAAGCAGAAATGTAGAACAATTACCTTTTAAGCTACCATCATGCTCCCCTAAATGGTATTTTTCCTTATTAGGAATTCATTTCTCTTTAAAGGAACTCATTCAAACGGAAGCCCAGAGAGGTCAAAGCATGGGCTTTAAAACATTGGTTCAAATCTAGACTCCTCCAAATTCTGGCTATGTGAATCTGGATAAGTTATTAACCCTCTGTAGATCTGTCTTCTCATTTATAAACTAGGTTTAATAATCCTTATCTCCAACAGCTATTATTGGGATGGAAAAAATCATCTAAAGCCTAGTATAGTCCTAACACATGGTAAGTGCCCACAAATTGAGAACTTTACTAAGAATTTTGTTCTTTTAATAGTATTATTCAAAAAATTAGGAAGATTAAATAAATGATATTCTGTTTGCTAAGCCACTGTCTTTGTTATCCAATTAATTCTAATCAAAAGACTCTTGTTATTAGTTATAAGAAAGAAAGTCCTGAGGCTTCTGGATGGCTCAGTCAGTTAAGCGTCAACTCTTGGTGTTGACTCAGGTTATGCTCTCATCGTTCATGAGATCAAGCCCCACATCCAGCTCTGCACTGACAGCACAGAGCCTGCTTAGGATTCTCTCTCTCCCTGTCTCCCTGTCCCTTTTCCAGTTGCACATGTTCTCTCTCTTTCTCTCAAAGTAAATAAATAAACATTAAAAAAAGAAGAAAGTCCTTATTAATATTTTCAGAACCCAGAATTTGTAAGTAATAAAAACTGGAAGAGTCTTTGGAAATTGTAGGCTACTCCAAAATCACATAAAGGATTACAGTGGATCTCTGTGCAGCATTTTTATTAAGCCACATTTAATTTTTATTATAATGATATTTTGAGCATGGACATCTATTATTTTAACTACACTAGGCATGCTGCAATGTGATTTATAATAATTTTTCTTAGCCTCACCTATACAGGATTCATTACAAATGAATTTTCAAATGTTCATTACAATAAGCCATGAGTGAACAGACATGTACAATTGTGTCATCTGAGAAATATTAGGAACAATGAGTTCTTCATACATTTATCATTATCTATGAAGTTTTCTTGGTAGGAGAAAGTTCCTAGATTTTCAAGGAGAGAAGCAAGTGTTTGACTTTTGCAATTGACCAATGTCATTCTATCCCCAAATTAGTGCACTTAAAAGTGTTCAACCCTAACTCACTGCCACTTTTTCCATGCTGGCGTCTCTGAGGAGCTAATAAATAACTTACTACTTAGTTATTTGGGTTCTGAACAATTGAGAAATAAGTAAAGGAGATGTATGGAAGGCCCAGTTGCCCCCATTGTAGAACTTAGTGTGGACACCTTATCTCCCCAGTCATGGCAGCAGCCCTGGAATGGTGCAGGCCGACCCACCCAAGAGTGGGAAGGACAGAGTCCTAGTAAGACTTTCTTGTGAAGGAGCAGAGGGGAACCCCTGTTCCCTGCCAGAAGCGTGGTCCCAAAATGAAGCAAGGAAAGAGAGGAGCCAAAGAAACCTCATTTATTCTTCACAGATTTTTCAGTCAAAATCATTCCTTTCTTCTGGGTCCCAGAGCAAGGAGCTAAATAACCTCCCACCACACAGGAGGAAATATTCAGACTAAGGAAGAATTCTCCCACAAAACTGTACAGTGGGGACTTGCATCCCTGGTCCCATGATGGAGGGTCTAGAAGCCATTTATCATGACATTATTACGTTGAGGTGCCACAGCTATGAGCCCACTGCTATGGAGGAGCTGGAAAGTGTGGAATTAGGCCCAGGTTAGGCTGGTTTAGCAAAAAGGTAGTCATCATTAAGGGTTTGTCACTCACAGCCATGTGGCTCCAGAAACTCACAGACACTGGTTCAAACTCATTTTACAAACTGAGAAATTAAACAAAGCAGTAGGATCACAAAGAAGATTCTCTCTCTGGCCAACATGCTGCAAATTGTGGAGGGAGTCACTGGCACCTTAACAACCTACTACAGTGAAGAGGTGAGGGTGGGAAACTAACATTCATTTGTGGCCATCTGTGTCTCTTCTGACATAACCATTTGCAGTAGACGGCATCACTTAGATGCCCAAGCCAGAAACTTGGGTGTTACCTTCAACACTCCTCCTATACATCTATTCTTCTCAAGTTTTTTTCTTTCTTTCTTTCTTTCTTTCTTTCTTTCTTTCTTTCTTTCTTTCTTTCTTTCTTTCTTTCTAGAGAGAGGAAGAAGGGCCAGAGGAAGAGAGAATTTTAAACAGGCTGTACGTTAAGCACAGAGCCTGATGTGGGGCTCGATCTCACAATCGTGAGATCATGACCTGAGCTGAAATCAAAAGTCAGACATTTAACTGACTGAGCCACCCAGGCTTCCCTATTCTTGTCAGTTCTGAGCCTCCATACTTTTCCATCTCGAAACTGCCCACTCTGGTCCAGCCACTTTATCACAAACCTAGTGCAGGCTATCTTGGGTTCCTTCAGTAATCTCTAAGTAGACCTCCTTGCCTCTGGTTCCATCATCATATAGATGAGGAAATTGAAGCAATATAACTCTAGATAAAGTGCTATCTTTTATAAAGAGGAAGTACAGTGAGGGAAAGAGCCTGGATTCGAGCTCATGTCTATCAAACTCTAAATCTAAACTCTTAACCTCTATTCTATGCCTCATCTCTATACAAATACCTCCCCCACCAATACAACTACCACCAATTAGTCTTTTTTTTTTAAATGTTTATTCATTTATTTTTGAGAGAGAGACAGAGTGAGAGTAGGAGAAGGGCAGAGAGAGAGGAAGATACAGAATCTGAAGCAGGCCCCAGACTCCAAGTTGTCAGCACAGAGCCCAACATGGGGCTCGAACCCCCAGACTGTGAGATCATGACCTGAGCTGAAGTCAGATGCTTAACTGACTGAGCCAGCCAGGCGCCATTCCATTATCTTTCAAACTAATGTGCTGTAATTATCTACATAACCAAATATAGAATGAAAGAATTTTAAGTGGAATGTTGGTGATCATTTTAAGCTAACTCCTTCTTTTAAAAGATGAGAAAGAACCTCAGACTGGTGCTGACACTTGTCCAGGCCACAGTTCTATTTCAGAGAAGAGTCAAAATCAGACCTCAGGTTTCCTGTTTCTGACTGTTAATCCTGACTCCTAACCCATCAGATAAATGAGCAGATAAATGAATTATAATTTTGAAAGTTAGTAATTTAAGGGTTAAACGAGTTATGGGTAGGAAAATACACTTAGGTCATAATGATACCAACTACCCATTTGTGAAGGATAGGCAGTTTTCACTAGAATTGTTTTTTTTTTTAAACTGGAAGTGATACTATAGGCCGTTAAAGTGTGGTTCTCTCGTTTTATAGGTAATAAAACCAAGGCTCAGTAAGATAAATTGTGTGATGGGAGGGCCACATAACCAAACTGAAATTAAATTCCAGGTCCCCTAGTTTCCAATCCAAGGTTCTTTCCTCTCATCAGCATACTTTTTAGTGTCTATACAAAAATGAGTAGGTAAGGCTAGAACAAAACAGCCACTACCACCACCCACTCTGGCACACCACTCTGCACCTGGGCTGGAGGTGCTTGTCCAAATGTGCTTTAACTCCTCATCTCTCTGGCAATGATTTAAAGATGTCCAAGCTGATGTGAAGATGAACTAGGAGACAAAATGGCAGACTAACCTGATGCTTTTGTGCATCCTTTTTAACTAAGAAGATCAGAGTCTTCCATAGACTGGAAACTTGGCAAATAATTTTGAATATGAAGAACAAAATTCAGAAATGAGTGAGCTGAACCAAGGGTTAAAGAGCAGAAGTTTAATTGAATTTTGTGTTACTAGAGTTTTCTTTGCTAATTTCCCTAAGTAAGCTTTTTTTTTTTTTTCCTCTACAAAGCCTAAACAGATTGTTTGGTTCTATTTTTGACTTGTGTGCACAGCCAGCCTCCATTTTCCAGCAGATGATCTCCGGACTGAAAACTCCTTTTCTCCTTGAAGGTCCATAACCTGCACCAACACAGCATCATCAACCCAGGAGCTTGAGCCTATCGACCCAGCTTAGTCACGCTTCCCTGTAAACACTCGTTCCACCCTCTGTAGGACTGTTTGAAAGAATCGTGGCTAATTAGGGTAGCAGATGTGTTTCTGAGTTCATTTCAAGCCTGCTCCAGGTTTTGCAGTCCCAGTGCTAAGCAGCACCTATCAAGTATACAACTGCCTAAAGCCCAGAAAACAGAAACACGCCAGGGTTGATTTCAATCTGCATATTCACCCACAAACGCACAATTTACTTGGGTCATGGCGATAAGGGAACAAAGAAAGGTAATCATCTAACACTAGTTTGTTCATTTGTTTGCTTGTTTTTCTGAATTTCGGCAACAAGCATCAGGCTAAGCTTGGAAGGGAGAATTTAAGCCCTCTCTTGCTTTCACCAGACTTTTTACTGCCATCTCAAACTGTGGCAATAATGACGATAATAATGATGATGAAAAACAAAAATGCTCAAATTATACATTTAAAATCCCAAGTCCTTTAGTATCACCACTTAATTTATGAAAAAAAAAACGATGTAAATATTATAATCTATGGTTGAAATAATTGATGGTCTATTGGAGTAGGGAGAAAGAAATCCTATTCCATTACCATAAAATCCTGTTAAGTGTCCCATTTAGGAAGAGCAAATCCACAGTTTCATTAATCATGTCTTATTTTTATTTAGTTTTCTAGAGATCAGTCCCATTCAGCTGATCACAAAATTCATGTAAATGAGGCTTTTAAGACTTCCTTTCATGTGGCTCTCTGATCAGATTATCCTTTCTGATTCCTTCCTGCATGGAAATTCCACTGCACCCTCTGACTTTCATGTAAACTGTGCACCCATCTTTTCTCCAGATCCTCCCACTATCACAGAATCCAAGAGCAATGAAGCCACCACAGGACGGAAAGCTTCACTCAAATGTGAGGCCTCAGCAGTGCCTGCCCCTGACTTTGAGTGGTACCGGGATGACACCAGGTATGTGCCAAATGTGCCGTGCCCCCCTTGCTCCACTAGGTGGTGCTAGGGACAGAACCTAGGTCCGCTGTAATTATGTGGGTCTATACTATTAGACTCTTCATTTTCTAAATCTCTTTGTCAAGTACTTGGGGGCCTGTAGTTCTTAACCTGAAGCCTCAGAGCGTTCAAGTTACATTCAAAATGTGAAATAGGTGGCTTAATGGGTAATCTCCCCCTGTATTGTCCTTCTTGCCTGGAGCAGTAGCCAAAGCTCAGTGAAACGCCTCCATTCTTGAGCTTTTTCTGTCGATGGACATTGGTTCTGATAATATGGGGTGACACGATTAAAAGGAGGAATTGAGCAGGGTACAGCAAGCTTTTACTACATTTCTCTCCATGTCTTCCAATATCATGATGAAAAAGGGATTGCTATGCCAAGTCTTCATCAGCGTTTCTTTTTACTCTTCTGTTTTTGAACTCTTAGGATAAACAGTGCTAATGGCCTTGAGATTAAGAGCACGGAGGGTCAGTCCTCCCTGACCGTGACCAACGTCACTGAGGAGCACTATGGCAACTATACCTGCGTGGCTGCCAACAATCTGGGGGTCACCAATGCCAGCCTAGTCCTTTTCAGTAAGTATGCCAAAGTAGGGCCTGCCTCAGGAGAATTCAAATGAGTGCCTCTGTGGAAAGCTTGAAAAACATTCCCTTACCTTATCTTTGACATTACCTATTAAAAGTAAGCATACACAAAAATAAGAATCCAGTCACTGAAGCAAAACACAGGCCTTCAATCCCTTTAAATAATGTTTCTATTTCCTGGCTTACTTTTGATAGCCGCCTTGTGGTTTTTGTTGTTGCTGGTTTGGGGGGGGGGGGGGGTGTTGTTTTTTTTTTGTTTTTTGTTTGTTTTTTGTTTTGTTTTTTCTTGGTCGATTTAAGTGTAAGAATACTCAGAGAACAGAAATCCCTTTGGTGATGATCTCTTTAAGGAACAGAAGTGACGTAAGATCCTGGAAAATAGATGGCAGTTAAAAAATGGCACTGGTGAGAGTGATTGAAGAGGAAATATTCCATGAAGATGGATAAGGTGCTGGGGGAAGGGAGAGGCTGGGAAAAGAAAGTGTATTTTTCACGTCAGAGAAAGATGAGATGAACGATTAAAACACCATATAAAATCTAAAGGATGAAAAATGGCTACAGACAGGTTTCCATATGACAGCAGGGAACATTACTTGTCTGACATATTTTTGAAAGAGAGAAGATGGTAGGAGAGAGGGGCATCCACAGAACAGGCCGACTGGGGAGGACTGTTGTTTCAGCTCACTGGTGTTACTAGGAGAGCACACCTTGCAACCTTGCCCTTTAGCAGCTGTTAAGTTAACCTTCAGGTATCTGACTCCCTGCCTTGCTGGCTACGAGCATAGACACAAATGCCCCTGAGAAACTGATGGGTGAAATTAGAAGAGAATACATTTGGATTAAAGAAATGTTTATAAGGATAAGTAAAACAAATGCAAGAGTTAGTTAGCACATGCTGGGCCAGAAAGTTTATTTGGACTAAAAGAGAAAGTGCAAAAACTTTACTATTATGATTTTGGAAAAACAAGCCCCTAGGAATTTTTTTCTACACAGATTCAACTGGAAAATCTAGAAATACTGTAAGAGAGATGTCTCCATCTTTCTTTATCTGATTTAGATAAGCCTTCAAGAAAAAAATATTTTTTAGAAGAAAAATCAATTTAAGTGAAAGTTCTCTTGAGATGCAGTATTAAAACCATTTCTAACTGCTCAAGATCCAATTCTTATTAAAAAAAAGCCACGAACTATTCTAAATTTGGCCTTCAATTTCTCACCCATAACCGCCATTGACTTCAGTCTATAACAGTTTGATAGGATACAGCTATACAAATGCTTAAAGTTTAAAATTCATACGAATTTTAATATAAAGTTTAAAATTCATATCGCTGTTTACTTGTCTCCAAAGACCAAACAACAGTGTTCTTTACTTCGGCTAGAGGCACCAATATCTCAAGACACTTGAGAAGATAATTATTAAGAAATGTAGTTACCTGCTTCACTCTTGACATCAGGGATTCAATAAGGGGTGGGGGGAAGAGGGTTGGGCAAACAGCCTCAACCCCGAATTTGAGATTCTGACATGTTTAAGGTAACCTGGCTAAGTACAACAACATACACGTAATAAGTTTTATAGGGGTTTGAAAAGAGAAAGTGAGACAACTGGATTAGTTAGAGAAAGTAAGCAACTATAATTTGTATTAAAGTGTCTTTTTGTTGTATCCCACCCAGAGGAAGAAATGTGCTAATGATATATTTCAAATGATAAATAAAAGGACACCTACAGACTGAGAGAGAGGAGGGTAAAGAAGGATGGAGGGGGAATATTCGAGGAGGAGAGAGCACACATGGGCCAGGTCGGAGATAATGGAGATACTGCTTATCTGCTTGTGCCCATGATCACCTCAAGCCCTCTCATGCCATTGCCCTGCGCATCAAAGTCCATTTAAAGGACTCAACCCAGTAAGCTGAGAATTGCCGAATTGTGCACGTGTCTCATAGCCATACTATCCCGATGACTTCACAGAAGTCACTTTCAATTACACATTTGAGAAGTGCACAGCGCAGTGACTCACAAGGCACTACTTCCCTGTGCGTCCACACCGTCCCCCACAGAACCACCCTCTCAGGCACTAGCTCTGGTTAGCAGCATGTGCATCAGCCTTGAGTTTGGAACTGATCTCCCACCTAATGGGAAAGTTAGGAGGCATAATGCTAAAAATTAGTGAAACTACTGCCCTATTTCTTAGACCCAAGGCCTAAATGTGAACATTTGTTGTTGCTTTTTTTAATGTTAATTTTATTTTTGAGAGAGAGAGAGGGAGAGAAACCTCAAGCAAGGGAGAGGCAGAGAGAGAGAGAGAGTATCCAAAGCAGGCTCCAGATTCGAACAGTCAGCACAGAGCCCCACAGAACCCAAGGCAGGACTCGAGCTCATGAGCCATGAGATGGTGACCTGAGCTGAAGTTTGTCACTTAACCGACTGAGCCACCCAGGTGCCCCTAAGTGTGGACATTTTAAAGGGGAAGCTGTGCTTCTTACATAACAGGAAGGGCACTTCGCCTCTGTCACCCCACCACGACCATTTAGGTTCGGGAGGCGCATTGCTACATCCTTCATTCCTAGGGAATGCAGCTGTATTGCAGCCTATTTCACACAGGCAAGAGAGAGAGAGACGGAGGTAGGGAAGGGGGAGGGGGAAGTACCTATGTGAACAGATTGCTCATTACTTAGACTCAAAGTAGATGGGCTTAATGGGTAGAAGGAAGACACTGCTGGCAGAGGCACTTTTGCATGAGGAACGGGGTCAGGAGGGGAGTGATGCTCTGGAGGGGCGGCTGCCGCAGCCCAGATAGAGAGCACTGTGTGGGCAGCGGGGTGCTGTGCTGACCAGCCAGTCCAGAGCAGAGGAGGCAGCTGGTGAGCTACCGCCAGCCAGAAAGAGGCAGCGCATAGAACCGGAGAGCCAGAGCTCCTGAAGAGCTCGTGATGATCCATCTTCATTGGTGCGTCAGCACATTTTCAGTGCTCACCACAGTGGCACGTGCTTACTTTTTGCTCAGTGTCAATTTGCAGTCACTGATCCATCTTGTCCTCCACCACATACGTACACATACGTCTCTACCCTCTATTCAAATATTGATTTCCAACAGGGTCAAAATAATTGAGTGAAAGTCCAAGAATACATTGTGTTCATAGTAATTTTTTCCCAAGCCAGTGGAAGCATTTCTTTCTCATTTGTCTTTTTCTCCACACATCCTAGCATTGTTTGTCAAGGATATGTACCACGTCAGTCTATGTTACATCCAAGATTAGATATTTGTCTTCATCCTGGGCAAAGCATTACATCTTGTAATTTTTTTCTGAACACATTCACCCAATGGGACAGTGTATACAGGAAAAGACTCCTTAGTTCTTATCAGCTGTGAGGATATGCAACACATGGACGAAGACTTTGGCTTCTGTTGATGCCAAGAGAAGGTTCATTGTCAGCATATGTAACATAGCAGATTCTGCTTTCTACACTGATGACTATAATGCACCCACAGGGGAAACCTATCTTGTTTCAGTATTTATGTTGAGTTACTTTTAAAGCAATGGATGGGGAGGGAGGACGAGGTCATGATTTTAATGTCATCACTTCTAATGAAGTGAGTGCTTACAAGGTACTCTGAACATGTGCTAAGCACTAATCATACATGATTTCATTTAACTGCCGAATCCAGGCTCTAGCTCAAGATGTTACCTAGATTTGTGTATGTGGAGAAAATGTTAGGAGATGTAGCTTTTGTAGTCTGCAAGTGAGGAGATATCTTATTTCTTTCTCCTTTTTTACTTAACGAGGTCTTTCCACAACTAAATATTGTCATATCCCTTCCCACCTGTGACCACTGGTTCTGCCACCTTTCATTTCCATTTCTATTGACCCCCACTGCATGGGTCCACTAGATTAGTTAGATCATTGGTTAATCTTTGGCACAGTAGGATTCTTAACTAATATTCCAGGCTAGTGGTCAGCTTTTGACCCTAGGAAGGGAATATTCCCACATGTTAAAGGACATTCTTACTGATCAATTACGTTCTACTTTGGAGAAATGTGCGGATTGGTAAGGTATTCTGAAGCTATTAAGTACCCAAAAAACCCATAAAAATGTAAAGAAATCTACACGGAGACATACCACATCAGTGTGTAGGAGTTTTTTCAAATTTTCTTTTTAATTTTAAAAGATAATTAACTTGTAAACCTATACTTGATTAAATTTCAAGTATTACCTAAGCAACCCAGCCCTGGAGAGAGCCCTTAAAATGAGGGCCTCCCCCGCTTGTTTGGAAACCATTTTGAGTTGTTATCTTGGGGGCCTGGGGTTTAAGTATACACCACTTGATGATGTTAGTTAAGACTTGGCAAAGCCTCTTAACCAGCTACTTCTGGATGCCACACAATAAAACAGTGTGAGCAGCTATTTGAACACTACTCTCATGTAGTTTGAAAGACTGGCTGCAAACTTTACAAGGGCTCTCTGTGGCTACTGTAGGAAATAGATGGGCACTGGGACTAGATTTAGTTTCAAGAATAGACATAGAATATGCTGACTTCCAGAAAGTTTACCAAACATCTGCAATACCCATTGGAAAAGAAAAGAAAATCGTATCTGGGTTAATAAATTACCACTATATATACACCTTACAATCAACTCTAGCCTTTGCCACTTAAGTGCTGTATTTCAGAGGTATTTCTTGTGAAGTGTTAATGCCCCATTTAACAGTTTCTCATTGGTGTCCCAGCAGAATCATCCAAACACACACACACACACACACACACACACACACACACACACACACATTTGGCAGAAACCAAAGATCAGAGTCAAGGGACTTACAAAGAGCCACAGACTATAGTTCTGGGGTCAACCTTAGAGCTCTGTTCCTCAAACCTTCCAATCACCTGCTTAGTGATGCTGACCTCCTCCAAATATTAGCAACCAAAAGACAAAGCACATGGCACCAAAGGTTCTGTCTTCCCCTACTGTTGAATATCAAAAGTTGAAGAATTTCTTCTTCTTCATTTTAAGCTTCACTTTACACTCCTCCAAGAGCCCATAAACCATGGCATAAATTATAAAATGCAGCAGAGTGATGGGGGAGGAATAAGGATAAAAAGCTGGGACAGGGAAGCATCTAAGGAATAAGTCAGTAGGGTGGAATTCGAGAATGAGAGTAACTAATGGGGCGTGATAAGGCTAAGATGATGATAACAGGGTGGAGGTAAGAAGATAATAACAAGCTGGGAACCGATTGAAAAGGCACTACGAGGAGGGTGGGTGAGATGATTTCAGCAATACAAATGGTCTTGTGGAAATGAGGGCAGAGTGCATTTACCCAGCTGTGAACAGTGTGATGAGAAAATATTAAGCTGAGTCATTGAAACAGCCTGAATAATAATAGTAATAATAAAAAATAAAGTACAGTAGATATAGTATGAGACAGTAGTCTCCAACTGCTACATAAATGCTGAAAGCAGTTTAGCCATTTAATTTCAAAGCTGAAAACTTAATACCAAATAACTAGTGGAGGTTTAAACCATTTTTCTACTTGACAGTTGTGTAACTAAGACACAGTTGTTTGCTCCACTATTATTGACCTGTTCTATCTTAATGCGCTTAGCAAACTTTGGCATTTAAGTTACAACTTTCAGGCAAGCTAGAGAAAGGCTCACTCTGCAAGGAGTCAGGGTTTTCTTGGCATCCAGATGTATTGAGTATCCAAATTCCAGGCAAAATCTACTCTTTCTAGACATATGGTACAAGATGGAAGGCGGATCAAATCTGAATATGCACATATGCTTTTCTCTTTATGGTTTTGGTTTTTGTTTATTTCAATTTATCATTAGTCTTTATTTAAACAAATGGCTGGGAGGAATGTAAAGTGTATGCTAATTCTATTGCACTATAGGGTTTAGGGGCAGTAGTAACACATCCTAGCCCTAATACACCATTCTACCTTTCTGAAAGAGCCTCAGAGGAGGATTTAGAGTTAAACCTGAGGTTTTGATAAGATAAATAGAGGACATTTTAAGGCCTGAGCTCTGTCAGCACATTCAATTTATCATGAGTAGCTTGGGGACTGTGAGGGACCCATAAGCTCAAACTCACGTGCTCAAAAGAACACTTTTCTTACTCCACAGGATGTATCATCGAGTAAATTTGATTGGTTGATCAAATTTCAGGTGAGGTTGTATTATCACAAGAGGGTGGTATTCAAGAAAAGATAGAAGGAAATAATATCATGCCAATTTACTTATTCCCTTCTCATTACTCTTGCACTGGTATTAGGAGTGGGGAAATAAAAACCTGAGGGAAAAGTTGAATTAGTATTTCCCAAAATAAATTTTCCACATACTTGGCCAAAGCTGATATGAGCTGGAGGGCTTAGGGAGAGGAAAGGAGTCCTTAGCTATCATGGGTCCATCTGTCATGAGTTAAAGAGACCAGAACCAGGACGAAGATGCATGACTGAATGTGATCACTACTAATTTAAATACCTTCAACCCAGCCCTCCAAAAAAAAATCGTAATTTTGGTAGTGAGATTTTTTTCAGTGTAGGGTAGGATCCTGTCTGTAGGGTTACCACAGTAAGATCTTGTTTCCTACTCTAGCTAATTTTTTTTAAAGCTTTGGATTTAAAATTTTACTAATAGCTTTCTGATACTTTAGTGTTGACAGGAAGAACAGACAAATGCTTTATGGGAGACACAATCCTAGAAGCATGGAAATTCATCAGTTCTATAATTATCTGAATAGCTAAACATGAGTTAAGATATAAATATATAGATAGATCTATATAAACTCTCCATGATGCTTACTATTTTTTCCCCTTTAGAGCGTGTTTCACCCACAATTCCCCATCCCATTCAAGGTCAGTATGATTTTTATGACTGTAGTTCTGTTGCTGGGTCATTCTCCATCATCTATAATGTGCAAAACACGCAAAGAGGAATACAGGTTCACAAAATTCACATACAATAGAAATCTTTTATTTTTCTTTAAACTTTCAAAAGAAAGTCGATCAGTTGTCCCCACACCAGTTGATAGACATTCTTCATCTGACTTAAGTAGGTGAGTAGCAAGGGAAATGATGCTAAGCTCAGAAAGCAATTCTCTCTTCAATTCATATATATTACAGGTAGCTGTGAACTCACATATTTGGAACACAACGAGTTAAGTTCTGAAGCTCATGAAAATATGAATCCTCTAACTGACCACCCACTCCTTTGGAAGCTTATATAATCTGAATCTCAAGTCATTGGTATTACTTGTAAAAATGAACTTATCTACTACTGCCAAAGTTTGAACTCAACCAGATTACAGACACATTAACTTTTCTTAAAATTGTGGCCAGTGCGGGGGCTTTTCCTTTTAAACACAACTATTTTAGAAAGCATAAATGAAAAAATAAGGTCGTCGTTCTGTATTCCTTTTCATAAAACTTTCTCCACACCCAAATTAAAATTTGCCTCCTACATTACATTTAGATGCGAGTTGCAGCCCCAGCCTTCTAGCTTAAGGCTATTTAAAGGCAAATTGGCAAATAAAATTAAAACAATACAAAAAAACCTGAAATGAAACCAACCTACCATTGAAATTAAATTCCAGAAAAGTGATTTGCAAATAACACTCAAAGACCTGAGAAAAAATGGAAAGTAGGCCATGCGGGGCCTAGTGTGGAAAAAATAAATCCAATTAAACAAGATTATTATGTACACTATAAAAGAAATGTGCTCAGAATTAAAGGTAGAAAGCTGCTGTTTTATAAGTTTGAAGACAGATCATGTTTCATTAACAGTCATCCAAACTAAAAATTGGACCAAAATTGGGTGAGGATATTCAGAGTGTCAATAATGTTATGTTTCGCATATGTATGTATTCACATATATGCAAACTTATTTTAATTATATTTGCAATGAGGATTGCAGGGTTTCAAAGATCAACTAGACAGCTTAATAAAAAAGTTATTCTTAAATTTTAAGAAGGATCCAAACTATTTATAGAAGAACTCTGTTGAATAAAATCCTTCCTTAAAACATTAATGAAATCTGTTTCTTATCCTAGCTACTAAAAATAAGACTTAAAATTGTGCCTGTTTTTTAGACTTGACATGAAAGTTGGTGTTCATGGAAAATATCCCAGTTTGAATTCCTGACATGCCACAATTATTTTAAGACATTTATCTTCGAATGTTGCTGCAAAGATTGACACCATTTTATCATGTTGACATCTTGCAAATATCTTGATGTGACAAACACATACATACACATTTGTCCCAATGGATAATATTTTCAAAGAGGTCATACTCCATCCAAGATGAGCTTTGTACACTGTCACTAAGCCTCTAAGGTCTCCTCTGTGGGAGCAGTTCTGCAGCCACAAACTCAAATATTTTATCTGATCATGCTTTATGATGTATATAACATGGAACAAAATGAAGTCAGACACGATTCACAAAGGACAGCTGTTGGAGTTTGAAAAGCAGTTCAGACCAGGAATGAAGCATGTTGAAATTGATATTTTCCCACAAACTGAATTGTAGATTGGAGAATGACCCTAGTTTGATTTTACGTTGTAGATAGACTGTAGATAGCCTCTTTAGATCCGATAGTTCTAGAGAATATAGTTTATTTTACTACTAATACTTTGGGCTACTGCTGGTAGAAATTGAAAAGCTGTTCATTGAGACTTGGGATAGCTGATGTGTGAGGTTGGTATGGGAAGATAATGCCCTCTTCAGTGCCCTGTGTCTTACAAAGGCTTTAACTTGTAAAAATCAGTCCCTTTTCTCCTCTTCTGCCCATGGCAACCCACGTGAAATGCAGTTTCCCATGGGGAAAAATATTAACATATAAGATCCTTAACTCTTTTTTTATAGTGTCACTTAAGTACCAAAATAATCTATGAAAAGCCTACCTACCTCACATCGGTCATATCTATCTGATATGACACAAAATACCTTTGCTTCATAAATACTGTATATTGTCATTACCTAGGCACAATCCTACATTTCAATCCTAAACTGTTAATGTATCCATAACAGTTGGTTGATGCAAATGGCCGGAAGGATTGGGAACCAATAAATTTCTTTCAGGGGTTTTGAAAATAAGAGAAAGTTCCCAAGGTCCTTTTCTGTCCACCCATCACACAAAAAGAACTTTCTCTCCTATTTTCCAATAACAGAAATACATGTTTAATTTTAGCTGCTTCGTTGTTAATGTCTTTCATTGGAGGGTCTCCCCACCCCCACTCTACATGCCTCATCAAGCTGAGGGGGATAAACATCAGAGTCGCAGCAGGAATGCAGTCCTAAACCCCTTCAAGCTGTGATTAAACAAAAACAAGGCTCAATAAATCAAATGTATTTCTCTTGGGTTTCCTTCATCATATTGCCTGATTTTCTGCAGTGATAATAATAATACTGGAATTATACCAAAGGATAATTTGTATTGTCTGTGGCCAATCAGAAATTTTCAAATGTCCTTTCCTATTCTGCCACAAACAATACAAAACAAAACAAAAAAATTAGTGTGCTTCCCTGCTTCTTAATTTAAAAGATATATATAAATAAATAAGTGTTCCACCCTTGATCTGTTTCTGATAGGTGTTTTTTCCCATTAATTTTAATTTAGGTTTATTTATTCTGAAATGAGTCCTGAATTGCATATATTTGCATAACTACCCCTGACTATATCGCTGCAGAAAATTCACTGAATTGTAAAATGAGGGAAGAGTGGGCTCTAAATGTCTGAGGGAACTTTTCTCACTTTGTTAGGCTCAAATCGTTACCTGAGGCTTCTGAATACTGGGAAATGGTAATACTGTTTGTCTCCTCCCCATAAGCTTATTTGTACATAACCTCTCATGACGGAAGTGCACCTAGAGACACCCTCACATTTAGAAGGACTGCAGGTTCAAAATCAAGTGAGAAAACCCAAAGTTGGAATGAATGAAGTACAAGAAGAAAAAGGACAAGGACAAACTACCATTGTTTTATTTTTATCGCCCTCAAGTGAGGAATCCCCTTGAGGATGGGACTCTCTGGACTCAATCGGCCCATCCTTCTTCTATCACTGGCACTTTAAAAAAAATTTAATAACCCTGGAATGTGTCTCACTTGCTTGCCTCCCATCTGATCATTTATCCCAAGTGAACAGCCTTTCCATTCACTAATCCCGTGTGGCGAGTGGGTTTGGGAAATGTCAAGATTATCTTCCAGGTTCAGGTTTTGCACTGGATTTGTTCACAGCTGCTTGCCATTCAGTTCCTGTTTTTCCATTGATAAAACACATTGCACATGGCTGGGTTTGCATGATTAATACAGCTGTCTAAAGCTTTCTCAGAAAACAAAACAAACCCCCCCAAAATTAAAGTTTAAAAAAAAATGAAAATCCATCCCACACACAAACCAGGCTTGCAGAAATCTGAAGTCCACCTGGCATGTGCTCTCCCAAAGGGAGACTGGTGTTGTTCTGGGCAGGCCTGGCTTCAGAACAGCCAGATTCCATCTCCAGAAGGAGGAGGTGATATACCTGCCCTCACCTGGCACTCCCAGAAATGGGTTCTCAAGGTCAGACTCCACTGGGATGGAAAACTGGAAGAAAAATCCTCAAACCACACCATGCTGTAAAGATAACTGGACAATCCCTATATTGTATTATCCCAGATAACAATGAGAAATGTCTCTTTGCAGCTCCTCATTATAATAGCAGTTTCATCTCTAGTAACTAATAGTCATAACTAACATAGAAAGTGGGCTTCTCATGTACTGATAGAGTTCTGAGGGCTCTGGCATGTGTTAACTCAATTAATCCCCACAATCCTAAGAAACTAACCTTCACCATCTCCCATACTTTTTAATTGTCAAAGTACACCCAAATTCCAGTCTATGCCTCACGTCATCCAGGCACATATATAAATCTATAGTACATTAGAAATAACCATTCTGTTATTTGTGTACGTTAGATATGCATCTGTCTAATGAATTTTAAACACTCATCTAGTTTATTGTATGTATTATAATGCTTATAATACATAATACTGTTACCTTAATATCCGTACACTTTTACAAAGTCCATTTCCAGATATACTCAGCACAGAGATGTATGCCAAGCTCACACAGAGATTTATATGAAAGCATTCATCTTTAAAAAAACATGAGCAGAGCTATCTGGCATCAGCACATCTAATTTCACACACTTATTCAGGCTGATTTACATACACACCTCTATTAATCATGGATAATTACTAGCATTGTTCTCTTTAATTCAGTTTTTCCAACTGTGAAATGGGAAAGAAATTATATTTTTCATGCCTACAAGCTCAGAGTAGTTTTTAAAATAATATATAAAGGGAGCTTCAAGTTCCCAGAAAGAAAGCATATTGAATTTAAAATAATCATATCCAGATGCACATAATTCTTGTAATTTCCAGAAGTACTGATATTTAAAGACATAGCTTGTGCCAGATTGCCTGGATATTAGCTAGCCACAAGTTCATTGTGGCTTCATTACAGTTTGACATATTATAGATTCTAGAGATTTCTGAAATGCCCACTGCTAACAAGTTTAAGTATGGAAGTATCCCAAAGCCAAAAAAACACATTATTTTTCACCAATATCCTAGTACACTTAGAGAAGCTTCACACTGCATGGTTCTCTATTGTCTGGCGCATGTGCACACCCCCCCCCCCAAACACACATGCATAGACACTCAAACTTTCAGTGAGTGCCCATTATGCACGTTACCACCTTTCAGATTGATCCAAAGTCATCACTCTAAAGAACCTGTCCTTTTTTCTGGTCAAAAATGTCAAGCATGGACAGGAAAGGTGTTAGTTTTCAAATACATCTCATACATCTCTCCTATCCA